TAAAGAACAAAGTCAAGCCATTGAGTTTCAACAATTAAGGATTATATATATGGGCAGAATATTGAATGATCCAGGAAGCATTAGAAGAAGATAGCATATACAGTGTCACTGTACCAAAAATAATTGGCTGACACAGAAAAATGTCGAGAAACAACATATGATCAAGAGCAATGGTGATGAAGGAGAAAGTTAAGGCTGCTCTGAAGGACTTGGCAAAAAAGGAAAGCCCCAGGAATTGATGGAATACCAGTTGACACATTTCAACAAACACATGCTGCCCTGGACATGTGCATCAGGTTGTGCCAAGAAATCTGGAGGACAGCCACCTGGCCAACTGACCGGAAGAGGTCCATATTTATTCCCATTCTAAAAACGGTGACCCAACAGAGTGTGGAAATTATCAAACAAAATCACGTGCAAGCAAAATTCTGCTGAAGATTATCCAAAATGACTGGAACAGTATATGGACAGAGGACTACCAGAAATATAAATTGAGTTTAGAAGATGTTGTGTCACTAGAGACATTATCACCAATGTCAGATCTTGGTATAAAGAGTACCAGAGGAATGTCTATCTCTCTTTCCTTGACTATGCAAAGACATTTGACTGTATGGATTACAAGGAATTGTGGTTAACCTTGAGGAGAATGGGAATCCCAGAACACTTGATTGTGCTCATGAGAAATTTGTACTCAGACTAGGAAGCAATCCTCAGAACAATGCAAGGAGACCCTGTATGGGTCAAAATCTGGAAAGGAATTCATCAGGGATGCATCCTGTCGTCATACCTTTTTAATCTAGATGCAAAACAGATTGTTCAGAAGGATGGACTTTATGAGAACTGTAGCATTAGGACTGGAGGGAGACTTATCAACAATCTACATTATGCAAATGATACAACCTTGATGCTGAAAGTGAGGTGGACCTGAAGTGCTTGCTTCCAGAAGGTCAAGGACTGAAGTATTCAAAATAGATTGAAGCTCAACATCAAGAAGACAGACATTCTCACTACTGGGCCAATTGGCAACACCATTAATAGTTGGAGAAGAAACTGAGGTTATTAACAAGTATAGCTTGCTCAGTTTCACAATCAATACTCTTAGCAGCAGCAGTCAGGAAATCAAAAGATGAATTGCACTGGGAAAATCTGCTGTCAGGGACCTCTCCAGAGTGATAAGGAGCTCCAGAGTCAGTCTACAAACTCAAGCGTGCCCGATCCAGGTCATGATCTTTGCTGTTACTTGCTGTGCATTAGATAGAGCTGGAAAATGACTAAGGAGGATAGTAAAATAATTGATGCCTTTGAGTTGTGGTGCTGGAGAAGAGTCTTGAACATACCATGGACCACCAAGAAAACAAATAGGTCTGTCTTAAAGAGGGTGAAACCAAGTTTATCCTTGGAGGCTAGGATTTTGAAGCTCCATTCTTAGTTATGTATTTAATGGAAGAGGTCACCATATTGTTTTAGTCTGAATAGGTTATGCTGGGGCTACAAAAACTCATATGTAGAATTTGGAAATACTGCTTTTTATTACCTTTAAAAAGGGAGTTCTAGTGGTCTCATGGTAAGAGACTGCATCACTAACCCAAAGGCATATGGTTGCTCTGCAGAAGAAAGATGGGCAGTCTCCTCTTCTGCAATTTACTGCCTCTGAAAACTCCATGGAGAATCAGTTACAAATCAGTTCTGACTCTGTGACACATAACAAAAGTGATGTAACTATGTTTAAAAAGTTATCGAACCATTTATGCTCTGTGATTGTTGTTTTGCTTGTTATATGTTGTTGAGCATGACTCATAGTAACCTGATGAGCAATAGCTCTGGACCCTGCTGTATCCTGAGTCAATCTCACTATCTCCAATGCACCTATCCTCATTACCCGAGTCATGTGTCAATCCATCTGATCCAGAGTATTCCTCTCATGTGCCAGCTATACACACTCCTAAGCATGATGTCCTTCTCCAAGGACTCATCTTTCCTAGCAATTTTCCCACAGTACATGAGATAGAGTTTCAAAATCCTTGACTCCAAGGAGCAATCCCACTTCATTCTTTCTAGCACAGGACTTTTTTGTGCTTTTTGTGGTTCATAGTATGTTCAATACTCTTCTTCAGCACTACAACTAAAAGATATCAATTCTTCTTCTGTCATCCTTAATCACTGGCCAGCTTTCTGATGCATAACAAGTAATTGAGAAAACCGTGACCTGGATCAGGCACACCTTAGTTTCTAAACTAATATCATTGCTTTTCAGCCCTCTGGAGAGGTCCCCAACAGCAGACTTTCCCAGTGCAACTCATCTTTTGATTTCCTGACTGTTGGTGCCAAGAATGTTGATTGTGGATCCAAACAAGATAAATAGGCCCAAATATTTTTCCTTGTCATTTTTAAGATTATTGGTATTATCTTGTACTTCTATTTTTACTTCTAAAGAAAAAAGAAATAATAATAGAGCAATTATTTAACCATAGTAGAGACTATGTTAAATCTCTAGATGTAGAGTATATTTCCGAGACTCTCAACAAGTGTTAGTTCTCAGCATCTTAGTAATGTTGTATCAACAGCTCAGAGGAAATAAGCACTTGATTTTTGAAAGATCACTTTTCTACTATCCTTTAAAACCTCTCTTCATCTGTTCTCTATATATTATTACTTTCTGATCACTTGCTATGCATCCTAGATCTAGACAGAGAATAGGGATGACAGAGAAGAATTGATGCTTTTGAGCTTTGTGGTGTTGGAGAAGAGCACTGAACATCCCATGGATGGCCAAGAGGACAAACAAATACGTTCTGGAAAGAGTGCAGCCAGAGTGCTCTTTGGAGGCAAAGATAATGAGGATTTGTCTTGTGTTCTTCTGTCATTTAACTAGGAGTGCCCATTCCTTGGGGAGGGACATGATGCTTAGAAAGGTAGAGGGTTGGTAAAGGAGAGGAAGGCCTTCAATGAGGTGGGTTGATACAGTGACTGCTGCAGTGGGTTCTAATGTGTTAGAAAGTGTGATGATGGCACAAGATAGGGTTTAGTCTGCTCCTAGGGTCACTATGTGTCATATTCAATAGCACCTAGAAACAATAACAATAATAGAAAAATAATAACAATTATATATACTTTGCTTATAGGACACGTGTAAGGATACATTTGGGAAGACATATGAAATTTTTTTTATTGTTAGTGTTATTTGTTTTGTGCACCTGTATGAGTAAACCTTTAGCCATGGAGTTTAGCTCAGTGTCTGAAGTTCCACATAAACTGATTTTCAGAAGTCTTTTGTACACCTTCAGCAAACAAACTGAAGTGCTGTACATTCTATGGAAGGGCTTACAACATTTCAAACCAAGATATTTTCAGTTAATTCTTATACAGTTGAAAGCTGGACAGTGAACAAGAAAGATGACATACAGATTTATGCCTACGAGTTATAGTTATGGTGTTAGAGAAGAGTTTTGAAGATCCCAGGGACTTCCAAAAAGAACAAACAAATCTACCATGGAAGAATTACAACAAGGGTGCCCCTTAAAAACAAGGATAGTGAAACTTTATCTCATATATTTTGGGCATTTTGTTAAGAGGGGCCAGTCCTTAGAAAAGGACATCATGTTAGGAAAGGTAGGGGATCAGTGAAAGAGAAGAAGCCCATCATTAAGATGGGTTGAAACAGTGACTCTACCAGTGGGCTCAAAGACAGCAAGAGATGATGAAAACAGCACACAGTAGGGTCAGGTTCTAATCTGTTTTTCATAGGGCCATTATGAGTTGTAGTTGGCCTCAACAGCAACAAGTGACACATTATAGTATATTTTATGCAGATGATGTTTTGCTTATGCTCTATGCATTTTATCAGAAATTACTTGTCCAATTTGGCAGTAGAAATCTTCTCACATGTTTTTCCTCAGGACTTGCTGTGAGGAGAGGTTACCAGAATGTGACCCCGAAGCTGTCATTTGGGTGCTAAAGTGTTATCAGTGAATCTCTGGACAAAACACTTTTTACTGGGCTTAGTTTGCATGTTGAAACACAAGTTCATTCTTAGTTGCCCCTGTACTAAGAGCAAAAGCACAAGTTAAGACAAACTCATGTGATGATCCAGTCATACTGACTTAGGACACACATGGTAAGTGAATCTGGCAGAAGACAAGGAGTGGCAATTGCAGATACCAGAGGGAGATAATGTGCAGAATCCTTTACCAGTAGAGGTCAACCAGTCAAATACCAGGGCTGGAGTTCTCAAAAACTGAGATAATGCCAGTTTTATGACCATTAATAACATTTTCTTTATACAAACAAAGATAAGAGTAGTAAAAAATAAATTCTGCCTCACAGTGTAATCTGATTGCCAAAAGAGCTCATTTTGCACATGGCATTGCATGAAAGACCAGTAATCATCCTGCTGCTCTTTTCCAACTTTTGCCCTTTATGGAACATCAGTCACTAGGACTGATCAAACCTATCAGCTGTCAAGGGAAGCATAATTTTTTTATTTCTCCTGTATTCCTCTCTAATTATGCTTCTTCTTTCCATTAACAGTCTTCATTAACTGGAGTATTTCATATGTGTGTTTTTCAGTTAATCGGAATGCCTGGGCTAACTTTTTCCTACCCATATTTTCCATGTGTTTAAGGGCTCAGTTCAAACACCATCCCTGTCAACTTCTGAAAAGGCATGACAGAACTCAGTTCTGATTTGAGTGTCTGCTTCAAACAGGCTTTCCAAAGGATATCCTGTGTCAGACACATCATTTCATTAGGCCAGGTTGCCTTTTCAAACCAGGAAGTAGAGCGCCTGCCTGCTTGGGAGGAAAACAGATACTGTTCTGGTTACACACAAAGCACTAGTAAATATAGTCATCGGTGCCTTTTGCAGATTCCATCAAGGTTGTAGCTAAGCAGTGACAGGTTAATTACGTGTTTGAGCATTTGGTTTATTGACAGTTGGTAGGAAGTCTGTGGAATGGGTCCTTAGCATACACAATGACAATTTTCCTCCAATATCTCTTTTAGTTGATCACTCCTCATGCCATCCGTGTGCAGACGCCTCCCCGGCACATCCCTGGTGTGGTAGAAGTCACATTGTCCTACAAATCCAAACAGTTCTGCAAAGGAACTCCAGGAAGATTCATTTACACAGGTAAGGACCTTTGCACCTGTGAACACAGACTGATCTTGATCTCATGAGTGTTCCTCTTTACCTTATGTGCCTGTATTTTATTTTAAAATCTACTTCCTGTTAAGACAGCTTCTCCATGAATGACCATGTGAGATTAATTTTTAGTTGGGGGTGTGTGTGTGTGTGTTTTGTCAAGAATCCCACTGACTATCCATGGTTAATGAGAATTCGACTGATTTTTGAACTGTGTCAGTTTGTTTAAATGATGGGTAGAATACCTGCAAGTTGCATGAGACAGGAGGGGAATGGAGAGGAATTCTAGCCAAGCTTGGGTCATTCTGGATGCTTCTAGAGCTCTGCTGTGGTTTGTCTGCATTATATTAGAGAATTGTGCATGAATGGATAGTATAGCATTTTGATGAGAGAAAACTGGTGGCTTTCATACTTACTTCTGGGTTGGTGTTTTCTTCCCTAGTAGCTGCATTTTGTCTGCTCAAAGTAGTTTTGGCACATGGACCCACCTGGTGGTAGGAATCTAGGGTTACAAAGCAAATTTGCCCCTTTTGGATGGTGAGAATTTGATAGATTTCCTGTGAAATGCATCCAGTACAGTCTTAGTATCCAGTATTTACTCCAGGACAATGATCCTCAAACTGTAATGTGCAAAACACACCCTCAGGCATCTTGTTGAAATTCAGATTCAGATGCAGTAGGTCTGGGTCTGACCTGACATGTCTAACAATCTCCAAAGTGATGCTGATGTTACTAGTCCAAGAACTGCACTTTGAATAGCACCGTTCTCGGACTTCTGCTTTGTATCAACCATCTTTAGGTAGCTGTTTCCAGAAACCAGACTCAGGTATAGCCTTCATTCAGTAAAGGGTCACAAGGCCAGGGAGTAGAAGTTGCTTTTACACAAAGAGATGAACAATGAAGACATGGCTCTGTTAACACCATGAACATATCCAAATTGTAATCATACAATTAAATGGATACGTTTTATTTTTGCTGTGATATTTTACCTCAAAGCATCTCTTTTATTTTCATTCTAAGAGCAAAACCAAAGAGGCTTCTTCATTGCTCAGAGTCTCTCTCTCTCTCAAAATTATTAAAACAATTAATGCATCCTGACCCTTGGAAATGCCTCCCAGTCCTTTAAACAAAATGCAGGTTTGGTTCCTGCCTGACGATTAGTTTTAGTTAATTGAAAATTATAGGATTGACCCAAGAGGAAAATTTTGTTTGCACTCCAATCACTTTTACAAATTAAGGAAAATTACCACAATTTTGTTTAGCTAAGGTTTCACACTGAGTTCAAGAAATTAGCTCAGCCATCCCAACAAAGTCAGCACTTTGTTAGTGAGCACTTGAAAAAATAATAGTCTATCTGGAGTTTGTGGTGTATACAAACGAAGCATAGAGAAAGCTATGATGCTTTATAGAAGTAGGCCAAGTGTTTTTAATTAGGCTCATTGGTTCAGCGTAAGTTTTGAAGAACAATCAAACTAGCAGATTAGCTGTTTCTTTTAAAGCTAGGATTTCTTGCCATTCATTTTTCCCATGAGAACTTCCACATAGCACTACTTTTTTTTTTTTTTTTTTAACAAGCCTCATTATAGGCCTGCAGGAAGAGGACCAATTGAAACTTCTGATACTGTAACATTCCCCAGCATCATTCCAATGGATGGGAGTTTTTCACAATGTTCTTCACTGAACTCGGTGTTCTGGAACATATTACAAAACCACAGAGGCCAAATGTTGTCTCTGAGGAGTTTGGACTCTGTTTTTGGCCGAAAACATTTAGGCCTCACTAGCTGCTTATTTACTCTGCTATTAAGAACAAGAAAAGGAGAAGAAAAAGAAGAAAATGCTTGTGTGGTGGGAGGTACGAGGGGCAATCAGGCGTGGTTTCCGCTTTAGTGACACGTCCCTGCCCATTAATGGTTCCATTTTGTGGTCAGGTCTCATTTAGAAGAAATTATTTTTAATCAGTGCTCAACAAAATATCCCCTAGAGCCACCTGGCCATAAAAGTTTAAAAGAAAAAAAAATCATCCCCATTAAATGACTTAAGTTCTCAAAAGAAAATAGCTAGGGACCCGTCATTATTTTGAATTTTTTTTAACCATTAAAAAAAATTACCATCAATTTATTATTTTTATGTGAGTGTACCGTCAAATCAGATCTGACTGGTACAAGGAGGAGATTGTCCCTCCTTCCCCGGCAGAGCATCTGGTGGATTCGAACCGTGAGCCTCGGGGATTGTAGTTGCAACTCCTTGCCACTAGGCCACCAGAGCTCTCAGAGGTAAGGGAACGAAATAGGATGCAGGTCCCACCGAGACTTGAACTCGGATCACTCGATTCAGAGTCCAGAGTGCTAACCATTACACCATGGAACTCCTCTACCATCAATTTAATAAATCACATCTTGGAAAATCTAAATCATGTGGGAATTAAGATCAAAGATAAAAGCAGCAGATTTTTTTTTGAGTCTAGAAAAGTTATGAAAGAAAAGAGTGGTAGGTTGGGGCTCACGCACGTGAGCACGCACGCGGGAAATTTAAAGCATGAAAAATGCTTCTGCTGATCTTACCTCTGACTGTGGGCACTGACTGGGCAAGGAAATTTGGCGTTCTGTATATCCTATGACAAAGTCTTAATGACTCTTCATAGTGGGAGCAAAATTTTGAAGAAATTCACAGAAGACCATCCCCAAAGATCCTATATAATTGATTGTTAGCCGTCTTTGTGAAATCACATTAATTTCTGACAAAAGAACATCTATGTTAATTAGCAGGATACACATGGTTCTCTTGATTGCTAGCATTAAATGCCTTTACCAAGGGTCTCTTGTTCATTTCTGGTGCTCTCGACAAGTGGTTTACCTTCCTGTTTGTTGACCGTTACCAGCAAAGATATAGAGACGGCCATAAACCATTCAGTTCTGTACAGCCAAACAACTGTGTAGGACATTGTCCATTTGCACCACCAGCCTTTCCTCCAGCCACAGATGCTCACACTTCATTTTCTTTAAGATCTACACCGCTTCAAGATGTGAGGCTTGGTTTTCTGGATCAACTGAGTCAACTCTCTTGTTTCTTAGTGGAGTATCTCCAGGAAATGTTCTTCCTTAGAGAGAGAAAGAGAAGAAAGATGATAGAGCTCAAGAAATAGTAATGTGAATTAAGGCACCCTTGCCATTTTCAGAGTTTAAGAGAGTTTGAGTATGTGTATGTGGGACTCTCAAAAAAATCAATTTCATTTTAAAAAAATAAAAAAATCAAACAATGGCTCCTACAGGAACAGCATGGTCTAATCTATGCACAGAAAGACAGAAGAAGAAATAATTTGAGTAGATGCAGATTGGGTGCAAATGGGATCCTCTGGTCAAGACTGTAGCCACCCCAGCGATAGTAAGCACAGCTCTTTATCACTGGTTCTTACCAAGGGCATCTTAAGAATTCTTAGCTGCCAGATGTTTAACTTGTCTTGTATTTGCTCTGATTTAAGTCAGAGAGGAAAGTGAATCCCAGTTGGATTAGAACAAAAATACTCAGCACCACTTCTGAGAGTGTCATTAACTTAGTCCAGTTATTCTTATGTAAAGGCAGGGCAAGACTAATTTTCATTTTTAAATAATGTTTTCTAGAAGAATAAAAGTTGCACAACTACCCAATAATTGTATTGTTTTCACAGTCTCTCATCACGTGTCTCATCGTTTCAGCTCAGAGGGAGATAAATGCCCCATAAACCTCGCTGCCCTTTCAGTGGGTCCCCAATGCTTTGCTCTCTTCACAGCTTGTTTTTCTACCCTTGTTACGTGTTAAAGTGACTTGCATCTTGCAAAATTGTAAGCTTCCTTGCTAAGCCGTAAGTAATTGTTGGAACTGACAAAAGGATTCTAAGAGCCTTTAACTTCATTTACACAGTTCTTAGAATTGGTTTCTAGGGTGAGAAGTAGTCAAAACAGGAAGGCTCTGCCTTCTTTCCAGTCACTTCTCTTATAAGAGAGGCCACTGTGATTGGAGAAAATATGATGGGAGCCGGGCAGTGTTTGACCCACTTAGATTTGCACTGAAAGTCATAAGTGGTCTAGTCCCTGGAAAGAGTTGCTGAAGGCCCCACAGGATGGTCATCAGACACTGCAGATGTTTAGATTGGTCACTCTCAGATCTGTTCTCTCTTCAGGTTCTTCCATTCTGAACATTCTTACCCAACTTCCTGCCCCTGTGGAATGACTAACCCAAATCCCTGCACATTAATCTCAGAATTAATGCTGAAATAAAAAGTGTTCCTGGAAAGACTTCCTGTTTTGCATCTCATGCCCCAAATAACTTTGCATCCCTTGCCAAAACTTCACTTTGCATGTAGAAAGATCTAGTTTGGATTGAGTATTTTTATGGAGCTTGGTAATCTTTACTGTGGAGGGTCTCCCAAGCTTTCTTTCACTCTTATACATCTGCTTTTCTCTTTCTCTCCTTTCCCGTCCTCCACCACTTCTTCCCTATGAGATAACACAACATGGTGACTGTGTGCTTGGGCTCAAGAGATTATGGGTTCAGTTCTCAACTCTACCACTTAATTGTTGGTAGTATGAGTTGGAATCACCTCATAGCAGATCCTCCAGTTGGTTTTCAAAAGTAGTAAATCATACTCATGTGGATTTTATCATCTCTGGAAACCCCTGGGAGGGTCAGCTCTGAGTCAGTTCTGACTTCACAGCTGTCAAAAAACAGCAACACCCTGGCTGGAGGAGATTGCCCCTCATTCTCCCACAGGACGGCTGGTGGATTCTAACTGTGTGTTTTGGGGTTAGAAGTGCAACTACTTATCAACTACAAGGTTGCCAGGAAGAGTTTTTGAATGTCATTTGAGTTATATGACATTTTTGGAATGTCCGTGAGGCATAGTCATGTGAAGATGAGCCATAGTTATGTCATCTTTACAAAGAAATAGTAACCTCAGTATGTGATATTTTTAGGATCAAGGAATATATACAGCACCTAGCACCAGACTAGAG